ATAAATCTTCTGCACAAGATTCTTTAAAGCGTTGAAAAGCAAGAATGTGACTTTGAGACCAAAGATATGCCAAACCTAAGCTATGGCATTTTCAACTATCTCATAAGCGTGTGAAAAGTAGACACTGATTAATAAGGCCGGGGAGGGATAGATGCATTTGAGTTATGGTTCTGGCAAAGACTCTTGACAATAGCAGGGAAAGCCAAAAGAACAAACAAATCTGTCTCGGAAGAAGTTCAGGCATAATGCTCCTTAGAAGCGAGGGCAGCGAAACTCCGTCTCATGTAATTTGGGTATGTTACCGGGAGAGACCAGTCTCTGGAAAAGGACATTGTGTGTAGAAAGGAGACCCTTCACAAGCTGGATTAAGCCAGTGACTGCAGAAATGGAGTGCCACGTTAGAACAATTGTGAGGATGGCTCAGGACCACGCATGGTTTTGTCCTGTTTCCAGAGGGTGGCTGGGAGTCCGAGCTGCCCCGATGGCACCGAACGACAACACACCTAGAACCCAGCTTTGAAACCCATCATGCTTCTCTCGTTCGCATCCATCCCCATCAGTGAACTATTGTCCTGCATGAATCACCCCCTAACTCAATCATCCCTAAACTCTCCTTGAGGACTTAGCCACAAACTTGTTTCTAAACCCTGTGTTATTTCATTTTGCTGCTTTTATGAATACTTTTACGAAAGTGAAATCATTCTGAACATATTCTCTGATGGTTCCCTTAGTTCATTCTAACAGATGCGTTGAAATGCATCAGTGTTCGCGCCGGTAGCTGTGGTTGGTCTCGTTTCAAAGGTACAGTGCTCCGCTGTATAAATGTACAACAGTGTTTTTCTTTTGATTGCTGAAGGATCTTAGGCTGATTCAACCTTTTTGCTATTAGAAGTCATGATGCCACTAACTTTTCTTTAAAACAAAGGTATATTTTGCTACACATATGTCTGAGTTTCTTCAGGTAGTGTGTTTGTGACTGGCATTACAGGATCTTATCAATTCAAAGTGCTTGTTTTAATTTATACTCCTACTAGCAGTGTATGAATATTTCCATTACACCACACCATTTTCAATGTTTTGAGTTATTGACTCATACTTTCTTTATTTTTACCAGTCTGGTGGGTGTAACTTAGTATCTCATTGTGGTTTTAATTTTAATTTTCCTGATTATGAATCATAGCAAATTTTGTATTAAAATAAATTCAATTACCCATGGAAGCATTTGTTTCTAATTGGCAGCAATGACTTTATATTGAAGAATATGGCTAAACTCATTTTTGCTAATAATTATGTAGGAGAACTAACTATATATTTGTTGTATAGGTGGACCAGGGATGGGAAAAATATGGTTTGCTTTTAATATTGGAAATAACAAAATAGCATTTATCATCATAGATAACACAGCTTAGAAAGACTTAGAATTATACAAGCATACCTAATTTTTTTTGTCCTTTGCTTTGTGCACTTTCCAGATAATTGTATTTTTTACTATTGATGGTTTGTGGCAACCTCGTGTTGAGCAAGTCTATCGACACCAATTTTCAAATGGCATGTGCTCACTCTGTGCCCCTGTGTTACATTTTGAACATTCTCACCATATTTTAAACTGCTTTATAATGCTATTGAATACTTTACAGACTAAAGTATAAAGCAAACATAACTTTCAAATGTACTGGAAACTCATAACAATTTATGTGATTTGGTTTATTGATATATAATCTTAATTGTGGCTGTTTGAAACTGAGGTATATCTGTACCTTTAGCTTTCCATTACCCTTTATTCAAAATTCCATCATATACCTAGCAACATTTCATTTGAAAAGATAGAAGGTTTTATAAACAATAAATTATTGCACTCAAAATGCTGTGTGTTTATCTGCTGGACACACAGAATCATTTATGATGCCGATGAATTTCAGCAAAAGGATGGGGGTTTCGCTTGTTACTGCAGAACGAAATATTCCTTGCAAAACAGTATAGAAGTCCTTGGATTTTACATAATTCTTATTTTCACCACCACTTGATTTCTTTTCTAGCCATCAGCTAAATTTAACCAATATCTTTCTTCAAGGTCTGATTTCCACTTAATAATTATTTAGCTTTGTGTTTTTTGCTTTGTTTTCTCTTGCCTTCTCTACATTAATTCTTATCCTTTGCCACAGTAACAGGACAGCTAGAAGTTTCATGTATTCATTTTATTTGCCATATTTAATTTCTGTATTTTAAAGATTTAGATAATTTGGATTGTATTTTGTAATAACTTCAACCAATGATGATACTTAAAAACTATATAAACTTTTGAATTTTCTCAAATATCATTATCACTTTTATTAGGGCTTTATATTATTTTCTTTGTATGCTCTCTTCTTGGATATACATTTCTTTTTAGTATATAGTTTGTAACTATAAACATTGACAATTTTTCAGAGGAGAGTGGCAATAGAGTACACACTGTCATGTTACGAACATATGACCGGCATTTTCTATTTAAAGCTAAATCAGCCAGTAAACTGCCTTGTAGCAGCCACCATTGACAGTCTCATTTCTGGTCATTCAAATCACCACCTGTGGAAAGAATCCTTCTTAGCATCTTCAGCTAAAATGAAAAAAATAAAAATTCTAGAACCACGCGACAACAAAGCAAAGCAAGCAAACAAAATGCTTCCAAAATACGTTCTATTTCTAGTGGTATTTTCTAGCAAGTTGGGAAAATACTCAAAACAAACTTCACCTTTGAGCCTTTTAAATTCCACAAAGATGCCAGTAAGGCCTGTGACTGACAAAAGTTTTATAATTTTCCAAAATAGCTTGTAGAAAATCCCAAATTCTGAAAATGTACACAGATTATGACCCTAATGGTAAAATGCATTAGACAATTGGTACTGTAATCAATATGTATGACTATAGTATGTATGCCCTACATTATTGAGAACATAAAATTGAGAAATGATAACACGACCAATTTCTTTTACAAAGTATTTCAAAATGATTTTTAGTTCACAACATATTTTATTATAGAGATTACTTTTAATAATAAGCTCTTCTTAACTCTTCTTAATATGTTTTTACTTTCATAAAAATCCCTGTTAACTTATAAACATCATTGGCAACAACCACAAAGATTATTGTTAAGAGTAATAGCAAATGTATGATCAATATGGATAAAATAGATAAAAGCCTTTCAAATACGAATGAGTTAATGAAGATAAATAAATTGCAAATACAAATTAAACATTTTTGAAATGCAACAAGGCCAAATACTATTTAAATAAAAAATGATAGAAACTAAACAATAACTCCATCTTGTTTTCAACATTAGTTGTGAACCTGAACAGGTACATAAACTATATTTATATACATTCACTTTTCATTTAGAAGTACACGGGTCTAAAAGGTTGGGAGCAGCATATGTTCTAGGGCAAGTGACCTCTTCCTGTTGCCCTCATGTACCCTCTCCCTCAAACAGATCTGATCACATCTTCCCGCATTCTCTCTCTTACAACTCTTCATTTTTTGAACCAGCAAAGTTATTCCTACCCCAGACGATTAATTATTCTACCCCTTTTGGGGGGAACCTTCTAAATGTTAAGATTTCTTCCTCACTTCAAGTGGCTCAAATGCCACTCTTCAAAGAGGCTTCCCTTGGCTCTTCTATTTAAAATACTCCTCTGGCGCCATGTCTTTTTACTGCCTTAAACTGTTTTGTTTTTCCTTTTAACACTCATGACCCAAGGAATATGTTTACTCATCGTATTGTTTATTTTGAGCATAATAATGGAGCCCTATGAAGGCAGGGGCTGCCATGTTCCCAGCACCTAGACCGCAGAAGGCATATGTATTCTCAGGGTCAAATTCTTTAACAACAAGGACCAGCTGCCTCCACATCTGTGCCTTTTGAAGCTCCCATTCATAAAATGTGCATCTACCAAGAGTAAATTTCTTTTTAGAAACAGTTTTATAGGCATATAACTCACATATCACACAATTCAATTGTACAATCACATCAAAACTCAATCACAGAAGAGTTGTACAATCATCACTACAACCAGGTTAGAACATTTTATTCCTTCTTGTACTCATCATTATTAGCTCCCTATTTCCTACCAATCTCCCCTACCATGCCTCCACGGAACCATTAGTCCAGTTACTGCCTCTGTAGATTGACCTATCCTGGAGTTCAGCTACCTTACAACATTAAAAATAAATAAATAAAAGCTAACAGCTGTACCAAAGTTAAACAGATAGAGACCTCCACTGAAAATTAAGCAGAAAATATTAAAAACTAGAATAAATTTACAATGAGTCATAAGGGGGAGCAAATGATATGGTACTCAATTTTAACCTAACTGCATCTGCAGTAATCCACTTTCCAGTGCATGCTTCTCGATAGCAAGGCTGTTCGCATCCATGGCCTATGGTCAGAGGGAATTCACTGGCGACTTAATCCATGTGTATTTCCCCTTCACATTTTTTTTTCAAACGGAAACAACTTTAAAATGTGTCAGAAGGGAAATAAATGATGCGATGATGTTACATTTTAACTAGCTGTGTCTGCCCTGATTAACTTTACCATGCTCTCGGTTCCCCTGGGCTAGCATGTTGCCACCTAAACAAACAAATACAACTCTTGTCAGTTGCTTTCTAGTTGTGTCTGACTCATAGTGCCTCTAGAGGAGAGTGCAACTGCCCCGTACATTGCCCCAGGCGGTAACCTTGATGGAGGTGGTCTACTGCAACTTCCAAACAACATCTGGTGGGTTCGAACCACTGACTGCTCCATTAGCAGCCAGCCTAAACCGCTGTGCCAAAATGGTTACTTTGGCAACCTGCATGCACATGATCCATCTCTTCCCAACATCTTAATAAGATGTAACACTCAAAATACATACATTTATGAATTTAACAAAGAAATACATTAGTTTATAACATTAAATTTGTCAGTTCTGTAAAACCCCTGTCCACTGATGCCAAATTCACAGGAATGTTCTCTTATCATACAGGGCCCTACGATGACACACCAACCATTTGTGCTGCCACCTGTCAAAGCTTTGGATGGTCCCACTTTAAGGTATTGCATAATTTATAAAAGAAGAACCTCGACCTAATGAAAGTACTGCAAAGCCAAGGACAATAGGAGAATGCTAATAATAGTAAAAAAGAGCTTCACAAAATAATATACATTTCTGAATAAAAGAAAACCTTAAACCTTAAAGAGGAATCTAACCAAACTGAGGCAGATGCGATTATAGAGGTCTGGTACCCTTTTCTCGAAGCTCTGCTGGCAGAGTGGTTTGCAGATTGTGCTGCTCGCTGCATTGTCTGCAGTTGGTAACCACAAGTCGCTCCCGGGAGAGAGGTGAGACATGCTACATCCATAAAGATGGATAGTCTCCTGCTTGCTTTGGCAGCACCTGCACCAAGATTTCTAGTCTCAGACACCCAGAGGCGCAGTCTGAATTGATTCGATGGCAGTAGTTTGGTTTTGTCAGGCTTTGGCTAAATCATTCCCTTGGGATGATGGAGATTTAACTTCCTCCCATACTCTCGTTCCCGTGGACAGAGAACTTTGGCGATTTGGGGCATCACTCGTCTATGCTGACCCATTGCACCCCCACATGATAAAATGGAACTGCCCAGTGAAGTTTCCTTGGCTCGAATCTTTATGAGAGGAGACCGCCATTGGCAGCTCTTCAGTTTAGACCGCAAGAGCAGAGCACTGGGAGTATTCGGTGATTTATTCGATTTTAATAATAATATAGATGGATGGTGATAAAACCATGAGAAAAGTGCTTAATCTTTCTACATTTTTTATGTATTGAAAACACAAAATTATTTAAAATATTTTGCAAGAATAGGACTAAATTCATCATTGAAATTACACTACTGCCTTCCTCAATTACTACCATCCTTCCACTATATTGGTTTTGCGTAGTCACGCGTGGATCCGCGTCAATGGCAGCTCCTAACGACCTATGAACAACAGCTGCCCGGTCCTGCGCCATCCTGACGTTAGTTGCGCTAGTCGGCCGATTTTACAGGCGGTGTGTAAACTCCTTCCATTGGCCGTCCTCTTTTCCGTGGATTCTACTTTATTTACCCTGGTGGCTCGGTGGTTATGGGCCGCACTGGGGGCCGCCAGCCCGCAGTTTCAAACCACCAGCCTCACCGCAGAAAAAGGCACCTCGGGATCTCCGAGGGGCGGACCGTTCTCCCGTCTTCTAGGGTCACTGTGAGTCTGCATGGAGCTGCTGGCCGTGTGCTCGGTTTGGGGGCTTCTGTGTTACCAAGCGTGAAGTTCTTCTCTGGGGACTGGTGTCTAGTCTTGACAGTGACTTCAAAGTCTGGGAGACGAAGTCTCACCTTCTCTGATTCTGAGCATTCTGGTTGTATTTCTTCCACCAGAGGTTTGTTGTTGTTGTTGTTCTCCTGGGAGTTCATGATATATTTACTATTCTTCGCCAACACCATTAAATATCAGTTCTTCGGCTTTCCTTAGTCATTGCTCAGTGTTCTCATGCCTATGGGGCAATTGAAATATCATGACTGGGATCAGGAAGACTGGTATCCCCAAAGTGGCATCTTTGAGATCACATAAGCACTTTTATATGCCTATAAACGGTTTTGAAAAGTGTTATCATAAACAAAGGAAGAGGAAAATGAATGATGAGTTGTTTTAAAATTTTAAACTGCTGTAGCTACTATTTTTAGGATTTCCTCGAAAAGCTGTTTTCATTTCCATCCCGGACATCAACTCCAAGCCTCAGGGACGTTGGTACTTCTAAAAAGGCATCTTTTGTAGGCTGATGTGTCAAAAAAGGTTTTTTATGAGGGTTCCTGTCCACACATTAAATGTGTTTATTCTATGAATATTTATTTAACCATGTCTCAACCATCAGTGACTGGCTGCAGACACGTTTTATCCGTCTTGGTAAATGAAAACAGTCGAGCACTTAAAAGCCAGGCAGAGAGGTCAGCTCAGAAGGGAAATGTGTCTGTTTGGGGGGACTTAAAGGGTGGGGGTTTCTTGATAGGTTTTCTCAAAGGTAACAGGTGACTTGGGGGTCCAGGGAAAGGCAAGGAACATTTGAGCCAATGACATTTTTGCCCATCACAAGAAGCTCATTCTTCCGGGGTCGCGAGGCTGTCCAATCAGAACTGTATGCAAGGAGCCTTCCTCCACTCCCCCCACGGCCCTGCTAGTGAGACCCACGGAACCAATTCTAAGTCACACAGATACAGTTCCTCAAAGATGCCCAAACTTCATTATTCAGGGAAGGATTAGAAATGCTGCCTTCAGAAGTCTATAGACTTGGGTGGAGGATGTAGACAGAAACAATTGCTTTGATAAAAAACACTTTGATATTTTTGATAAACAAAGGGTTTTATGATTTCGTAGCCATACTTCTGGCCTTACCTTTGTGCAATTATTACACTTCGCTGACAAAGTATCTACAGAATTTATTTATCAACAAAATGAATTTTTCTTCGACTGCAAAGTATTTAACCATTCAGGTCTTTGATTAATAGCATAATATGATACATACAGGCCAGTAACTAATGTTATCTTACATTCAAAGCAAGGTAACATAATTCTTTTTTCGGTTGTTAAGCAGTGATTTTTACATTCCAAAACCCCATTGCTAGACCCAAAAATAGATCCTCTGTCATTGTTCTGTTCCCCCAGCGTGTCTTTGGAAACGCATCATTGTTCAGTCCTTTCATGTGTCAGCTTCCTTTGCACATTAGAGTTCACATAGTCACTGTTGCTTACAGCAAGGTTTCTGCAGTCAAAATATCTGCTTATATTTGACAGCTAGATTTTTCTTCTTGAGTTGTTTTATGTGAAGCTGTTCCAGGTTACCTTTTTATGAATTCAAAGTTTGTCTTCCTAGAAAAGAGCTGTTTTCTGCATCCACTATCTATGTGCATCTCATATGCTTTTGTGTGTGTGCTGTTATTAAAAGGGTTAGACAAGATTCTTCCTAAGAGTCTTTCCTACTTATACCTAGTAACAGATATTTGAGAGTTTGAAGGAGATAAAGTGGAACTGGAAGGAAAACAAAATATCTAAATTTAACCTTCATGGCAAGACATTTTGTCATATGAAACATCGCTGCTCCCTTTATAATTCTTTTTATTTTATTTCAAACAGTATAAGGGGAAATTACTCAAATTTCAGTAAGCAAAAGGCTGGAAAGTCATATATAGACAAAAATATATGAAACTGAGGACTGAAATGAGAAGTTGTGTCATATTAGTCTAAAACATTCATGCCTTAATTTTTATCCAGTTAAAGATGCACCGACAGTGATTGAAGAGCGAGAACCTTGTCTTCGGACAGATAGAAGGCAAGTGGCTAACACTATTGTGTTCCTGCTTGACTTACCTGTACGAGGAATGGGCCACCTGTAAAAAGACTCCTCCGGCCCTTTTCAAGTGTGAGTCTGGAATCTCTGACTTCAATTACCCTAAATTTAAGAGTTGGAAATAAAATATCATTTGACTTATTAAAGAACAAATGATATGATTTGTAGTAGTTTATTTCCTCTAACTTTGAATACTTGCTGTTCCTTTATTTTTGTAATCATTTCTCAGACTCTGTAACTTGACAGATGAGTAAGAAAATGGTAAGAGCAAAGTAAAAAGGGAATGTCTCTAGTTAGATTGAATTTTGGTGATCAAGGGATATGTTTCTTGTTGTCCCTGAAGTTTAATATTCTTACTATTGAGTAAGAGAGACCATTCGCTGGAGAAAGACACCATGCTTGGTAAAGTGGAGGGACAGCAGAAAAGAGGCAGACCCTCAGCAAGATGGGTTGACACAGTGGCTGCAACAATGGGTTCAGGCACAGGGACCATTTTGAGGATGACGCAGGACCGACCAGCGTCTCAAAGCATCTAACAACAATAACAACATAAAAATAAGTATATATTCATAGAAGTCCTCATGTTACTATAGGTTAGGCACTGGGCTTTAGGAAACCTCAAAATCTGTGGTTAGGGGGCATCTAACAACAACAATTGTTAAGCCATCCTGCCAATACGAATGAGCTCAGATAGTAATCCTGAGATAGTGAAAATGTACATTTATAAATTTATAATTATTTAATAACCCTATTTTCACATTAAAATCTCAATCCAATTAAAAATAGAATGGCAGATATAAACATTTTCCCCAAATGTAGAGGTAGTATATCAGCAACTAAATAGCTGATCCTGGCTATTAATGAGTTAAACACAAAGTTAGTAATGAACTTCATTGTTTTGTACTACAGTCCATTTTTGTTGTTGCTGTGGTCACTGTGTTGTAATTTGCTTGGTTGGACTTCAGGATTATTTAGTTGTGACTTAAACTGTATTAAATTTAGGGGATCATTTTGTGGACAATTAGCATCTTTTTAATTTTTAGTTTTATATCTGTGTATAAAGAAATTCTATTTATTGAAAACTTACTTTGCGTCTACCATAAGAATTGTGCTTTTCTTTCCAAAACGCTCTATATCTGGCAGGGGGGTGGGGAGAGTGCCTAGGTTAAGCAGGACTTTGACAACAAAGAGGAAGAGGATTTTCCCAGGAAACAGTTTGATGAGTGCTTCAGTAAATCATAGTGGCTCCCTTTGGATAGAACAGTGGGAAGTAAATGAAAGTAAGTCTTTTAAAAGTAAAAAAAGAATAAGTTGGTTTTACATTGAGCTGATGACTTTTAAGGTTCACAGTATCTCACTTGCATAGCACCTTTGAAAGGCCCGGTATGCAACTTTATATTTGTGATGCTTTTATTTTTCTTCAAGAGGACTTCCTTGGGTTGGTTCGTTTTCTGTAATCCATGAGCACAGCATGGAATTCACAGACTTGTCAGTGATTTGGGAACTACGTCTCATCAGGTAACGTGTCAAGGAAAACAAGAATCGAGGCTGATGTTGGTGGCTAATATATGAGATAGGTCACCGGGAACTGGCCAGGCTTGTCATTATATTTCTGCCTCATAAAATTTTGGCCCAGGCAAGTCACACAGAGAGCTAAGTTTGGTTGCCTCATCTGTACACTAGGAGATGGAACTAAATCAAT